AAAAAAAGATGATACAAAATTGCCCATATATTATTATTCTATGTGATGCGTATGGTCAACAACTAGAACAAAATAGGTCCATAAAAGCTGTTGTGACAGGGTAAAAAAAATTATAGGTGATTTCCATCCTCCCATTCCCCCTGACTATTTCACAGATTTTCTATAATGCTGCAACCCTCCCTGATCCACAGTGAGTCCTGAAACAAAATACCAAAGAAAGCAGAGGTAAAGATGGAAAACATAGGAAGATAAAATTCAGTATACTTAATCATTTTTGGGGACCTCACTGGCCTGCCCGGTTATTGGGCAGATTTTGGTAGGAGAGAAGGGAATTAATGGGATTCAAAAACTTCCTACAGAATCTTTCGAAACACTGATGTAATAGTAACTTCTAGCAAGTTGTGAAAAAGTAAACTTAACGGACAAGGTGCCACTTTAACCCTCGTTTAGAGAAACCAAACACTACCACCTAAAAAACACACATTCAGTTGTTTTCCTTTTTTGTCTCTGTCTAAAACCAGGGCCTGACAAACCAGCGGGATAGAGGAACTCCTGATGAGGCAGCAGCTTCCTCATCAACCAGCATTCATTTCACTTGACAAGCAAAGCCGGATGGAATGTTGTCGAAAAATACCGGTTCTCTTTGCACCTCATCTCTCTTTGGCTTATTTGTTGCTGATCCTATGCTGTAGTTCCCCTTATCTGAATCTCCCTGTCCTTTCATGCTTAAATTAACATACAATTTTGGTATCTCGACCTTTTTTGATTCCTATTCTAAAAGGCTTACGGAATCAAATGAAAGAAAGCAAAGCAAAGCAAAGCAAAGCAAATAAATACTTCAAAATGAATGAGAAAAAGAAAACAAAAAATGTATTCTGTTTCATCCCTACTGTCACTCTATGATGGACAAAAGTATAATTTATAAATGCTACATTTAGCTTATAATATTATTGAGAGTAACCTTCTCTATTGGTTGATTCAGTACAGAACCTATAATATCATGAGGATATTTATTAACTCTGTGACTATGGAGATAGGCTTAAAATCTATATATACTGTGCTGGTTAAAGATAATTTTTATTTCTACAAAGTATATTTACTTACCACAATTTCTTCATTTTGAAGCTGCCCCTCTGTGTGTATTAAGTCTAAAAAACAAATTCAACAGAAATGAGTTAAGGCTGAAAATACATGAGGATAGCTACTGAAATTTATGTTCAACAAAGCATGATATCTGGTAAACTGTAAGTTAGGACCAGATTTAAAGGAATATCAGGATTTTTGGGTTGAAATTTGATATAAAAATAGAGACATTTGATATAAAGTTAAAAAAACAGTAAACTATGAGCTATAAAATATACCTAGTTAGTATAAGCAAAAAGAAATGCAAATGTAAATTATGGTAAAGGAATATAAAGTAAGGAATTGATAAAGTATGAAAATCTCTTTTAAGGATCAAGCTACTAACAGTCATTGCAGGCCTGAAAGGAGACATTTTACCACACCCATGGGTAACAACTCGGGCTTGGTTTCTCAGTGAACATATGCTATGATGCAGAAACGTGTAGCCCATGAAGTGATCTTTTCTGGTATCCAAGTTTAAAAAGTTTTACTTATGTAATTTTGGGGTAGATTAATTTATCTGGTCATGAGTTAATCGTATCAAACATTCTTTTAGAAACATGAATATTTAATTCATATAATATAGCTACTGATGTTATTAAAAATTTTACTTA